GGTGGTAAATTCATTCAAATCTAATCACTAGATCGTGCTCCGACACAAAATTTCATTAAATGTTTATAGTAAATTAACTCCATCAATATCGGTGCTATAGAAATGAAACACATATCATTAGATTCGTCTCGATGAGAAGAATCGAATGGTAGTAAGATCATCGAAATCTGATCACTAGATCCCGAGATATTCGCAATTTCGCACTATTATGCAAATTTCGGAATTTCGGAATACGTAATTAATTACGATTTCGTAATTTCGGATTTCGGATTTGCCAATTGAATTTCGGAAACAACTATATTTTGAGTATGGTAAGGTTCAACAATACTCATATAATGACTATGACACAATTGTTGTCCGATTCTTAGGTACGTATGTGCTTCATATGTTCCTTTTTTTTGGGCTTTCTCATATGCTAATGAAGTGAATTGACAAAAACGGGTTACTTGATTATTACAATTTCGTACTGAACATGGGCCATGATTTTTTTGGACCATATTGAATAGTTAAAACCCCTACAGATGGGCTGAAAATGGCTCATGGAATGATCTGTAATATGCGTAGTATTATCACGTGTTATTTTATTTAGCCAATCATAATAATGTGACACACGTTGATCATAACCAATAAAAACAAACTTTCCCTATGCTGATAAACATATCAATCATAAATATGAGAAGACTCGCAACCAATGACAACTAGGTAGTCACCTAATGCTCCTAAATCAGGTAGTTAGCTGTTTGGAGTGTCATCATTGGTCACTCGAGATAATGATAACTAGGTAGTCACTTAATGCTCCTAAATCAGGTAGTCAGCTGTTTGGAGTGTTATCATTACCCCTCGAAAAAAGACACCGGAAAAATATACCTTTGTTTTCAAATCAATCTTCTCGTTTCGTTCTTGGACTGCCCGTATAAACCTCCTCGTCCACGCTCCATCAAGAGCGTGCCAGTCATCATGGAATGGGGCTGTAAGAATTTTATCATGGTAAAGCAACAGAAACTGGGAAAGGGGCCATTCTTCCGGTTTGTGACTATTTAAGTATTCAAGAAGCTCTGCAAGTCAAAGTAGAAGAAATATAAATTAATAAACGCAGGATAAAAGTGTCATTTACACGTTCAAATGACTTGCGACATGATACTGGGTAAATTTGTGCGAAGACGGGTTATTTGAAATACGATTATCACGTGCTAGAGGTAGCACAAAAAGGAGTAAGTGGATCTAATGCGAGTCAAAGCATCACATTATTTCTTTGCTCTCTCTTTTTAAGAAGTTTGTATACTACTATTGACCGGAGAAGGCGAGAATCATCTTTTTGATCGCCTGTTGTTTCTGATTTTCTAATTTGAAAATTTCAACATTATCTTGAAGTAACGTATAGTTATTAATCCAAGATATTAAAAAACTTTTGACACCATTAACTATTGTACGTGATACATTATGGCTGTTAGTAACATCTCAAAGAGTCATATTGTTTGGAACTTGTCCACCGTTATTAATGTTTTCGAGAATTGCTTTATTATTGTGGTCTATCACGACCGTATTTAAATTGTTATTTTTATATGAAAATGATACATTTTATCAATCAGACGACCAACGTACGTTGTAAACGGCCGAATATCAAGCACGAAAAGATGATAAAATTCAACCGCCAAATGTAATTATCAAGTATTAAGAACGAACAAATTAATCGTGGATTGGTGTGGATGGATAAATAATTAGCCGAAAAGGATAAACATTTAAGAAGAGTAATGATCTACATGATGTAATATTTATTGAATGATTGACAAAGAACCAATAGGATAAATAGAGTCGATCATTTGCGGCTTAGCGATCTTTAACAATGAGAACGACAAGAAAGAATAATTATAAGCCACAAAAGGTAGATTATGAGCGAAACACATAAAGTGGATTAAAAGAATATATAAAATAATGTCAGAAAGATTGGAGAACATAAAATAATATAGAAGATAATATGAAAAGATGGCATAAAGATGGAATATAAAAGATAACATATTAAAAAGAACATATATAAAAGATAACACAGCCACAAAAGATGAATTATATCTTTACGACATAATATTTGAAAGATTATTTTAAAGAAAAGATAGCACAGCCATAAAAGATGGGTTATAAATTATTTCTTTACGATGTAATATTTGAATAATAGAAAAGATAATATATAAAATAATATATAAGATAGCATATTAAAAGATAGCGTATTTAAAATATAGATAGTATATTAGAAAGATAGTTCAAAGATAATATGTAAAAAACATAAAAGATAGTATATAGATAGAATAGAAAGTAGCATAAAAATTGTATATAAAGAGAACGGAATTCAAAGTAATTCCACAGTTCGCATCCACAGAACTCAATAAAATATAAGTTTCATTTAATTATTTGTTAATGAAGTTTAATGTTAATTAAAGGTAATAGGTTCGCCCTAAACTTTAATTAATGTTCGCTTAATTAATTTTAATTAAAAAATGGAAATTTTAAGAAGAATTAAATATATGTTTTGAAAAGTAATGTTCCGTAGCGAAAGCTATCGTAGTTTGAAATTAAAGGTAAAAGTGGATATAATTTGAGGAAAATTTAGAGAAGTTAATTTTTATTTTATATTGTTTGATGTTTTATATTACTAACGCTATTTATTTTGTGAACCAAGAATGTTGTTGTTATATGTTGTTGTATGTTGTTCGTTGATTATGTCGTTTGATAATTAAGTTGTTGATTATTTGTTTGTTCGTTTAATTGTTCGTTCGTTCGTTTATTCGTTCGTTCGACCATGAGAACGCCCGTTCGATGTGGCAACTCTGTAAATTGATGACAGAGGGAATTGGGGGATCTCAACGTACCTTAAGAAGTTTTGAATTTCAAAAAAGTATTGGAAGTATAATTAGATCATTTTATATTGGATTATTTATATATATTTAAATAGTTTCATGGATAGATTAATCTAAAAATTAATAAAATCTGTGTTACACTAAAACATATAATAATCAGTAAAGTCTATCTAAGCCACCTTCAGGCCATTTTTTTCTTGCAGCAGTCCGCGCTTGTTTCAAACGTTCACTTTAAAAATATGCCGGATAATGTGAAAAACAATGAAACTGAACATGAAAATGACCATGAACAGGAACACGAGCAAGAGCTGGATATATTGGAAGACTTGGACGCAAATACCTGGGTCACCTCAGGAGAGATGCAGAACCTTCCTACAGAAAAACCTACTCTCTCAGTCCACGCGTAAAATTATACTTCAATCCGAACCTAGGAATAGGGATATTTCCTTTGACCCACCTATCATGGACAAGAAGTTATGGAATAGCATGTTTAAACCAGCTAAAAAACAAGACAAAAATATACGACGCGTCATATATAAAGTTTCTTCAGCGATCAGACCCATTGACAATACGCTTAGAATGGTATACGCATCAAAACCTGAGTCAACTGATGGAGAAACATACAAAACTTGGTTACAGATGGAACAAACTGTACTTAATTCAAGAGCTCTTATATTGGACGCGTTATCGTTTGCCAATGAGTTACGCCGCGAACAGGCCCTTAAGGCAACCATATCTCCAAATTATCAAAGACCTATTGGAAAGGAGGAGGTATTTGGAGAATAATGGATTTGAAAATATCTTACAATAGGTTATGTTTTATAACGTAATATGGCACCTGTATAACAAAGATTATGATGTAATCCATATGAAATTGAGTATTAAATACTTGACAAATAATTATAGTTATGGAGGTATTTAGAAATCCTGTTACGGACAAGCAATTGTTAAGAGAATTATATGAGATTTTCCTAATTCCTTACAGGTATGGTTCATATATTATACTACTTTTAAGCAAATAGTGCATTTAAAATTTTTTGGCGTTCCAGAGATAACGGACAAATATTTTTACAACGAAACGGGAAGCCGTGCTTATTTTATACGATCAACATTGGACAAATTCCATAACTTTTCAGGATAATTTCCCGAGAACCTTGAGGTTTCTCGAGGAGCAAATACAATATCTTTTTCAAACATCAAAATCAATTAGCGAGATGGATAGTACTCTTGGAGACACAATCTCATTGACTCCAGCTGTGATAAATGTGATGTGGAAGTCTGAGCGACAGAGAATTTAAATGTGTCGTTCAGGGTGGCATTGATAGGCCGTAGCAATTCCAAGAAAACGCTACTGAAGAATTGACAGATACACGACCAAATGAACCGGTGTCTCCTCCCACAAGATGAAGAAGGGAAAATTCTCCCACTGTTCGATTTTGGCCTTATAGCAATTGTGCAGAAAACAATCCATTAGTTCATCTGGCATATTGGAGACAAAATTTACCAATAAGACTTCATTCAATCTTAACAGAAACACAGATAGAGAAGCCACCTTGCAGAAATTGCCTGTCTGTCCTGACTGAAATTACTCACAAGGCTGAAGTCTTTAAACGTTTGGTATACATTCATTGCACTAGTATTTTCTTGAGTAAGATGTTGTGCCTCAGCAAGGCTAAGAGTGAAGTCTTTGTTATTATCAGTGGCCATAGTTGTTAGTTATTTTTGCTGAAAATATTCGTAAAATGGTTCATGTGATCAGCGGTAAGAGTTCTATTATTGTTATTATTCATTTCACTTTATATAGATTTTATATATTTGGATATTATAGAGCATAATGACCAAAGCTTTCTTACATAATTTTTGACAATATCTCTTATTTTTTATTGTAATTATAATTTATATTTTTTTTTGAAAATTTGGGTAAAATTATATAATTATATAAAATTTACTAAAAGATTAAATCACCCATTAGTTATACTTTTTAAATAACCATTTAAAAATACTAGAAAAAGTATTTTACTTTACAAGGAAAAAAAAAAGAAGTTTAATTGCAAAATTAATTTAATGATAAAAGTAGTAGAATTAATGTATTTATTAAGTATATTTTACTTTTTTTGCTAGTTATTTTATGTTTTTATATTAGTTTATTCCATTTATTTTTCCTATTTTTTCCTTTTCTTATATTATTGGCTTTTAAATTTCAGATAGACTATTGCAAATAAGAAATAAACCACCATAATAATTTGGCATTAAAACGTTGTATATGTGTATATGCGATCTTGTCTGAAATAATAGTATTTAACACGTGATAAAGCGATTTACCTAATATAGTAAAGAGTGTAATCTAAGATTTCCTACTATTTTATTAAAAATTTATTGGCTAAAATCTAATAAATATAAATAAGTGTATTGTTGATGAACACGTGGTTCAAATCAACTCTACCAACTAAACGTCAAATTTATTTATCTATGTTAAATGTAGAATATAAAAGCAGCTCGAATTCGACACCGAATTCGACAGTTTTTTATAAATAAAAATTATGGGAAGGCCTAGAGATTCAAAAAAAAATATTCCTTCTCCTACGACTACCTCAGTTACTGGCTCTTCAAAATCTTCAGCACCTTTAAAAATAAAAATACCTAGAAGTGAAGCTTTACTAAGAGATAAACAAAAACGTAGACTTTCTACAGGTACAAAGAAAAGACCTATTATATTAGGTAAAATACCTGAGGATGACGATATTGAAGAAAAAGATATTCCCATTGAGGAACAATTTATATTAAGGTTGATGGTTCCAGAGGATGTTAAACAAAAGTTTAGAGAAAAAGTTAAAACCGGAAAATTTACTGACGATATTGGGATTATTTTTAAAGGTAAACTAATTGAAGATTTATTTCAAATCAAAAAATAATAATTTATTTTTTTGATTCAATTTATTTTATAATAATAATTAGATCCTCGTCGTGCAATATTCACTTTTGAAAATCAAAAATATCGTGCTAAGTTAGTCGATTTACCTTGTATTATTGAGGCTCAGAAAACTTTTAATAAAATACAGTACTATAAAGTTGCTGATATCTGTCAGGTAATTTCAATAATCCATTTAATAATTTTCAATAAATTCAAAAAAAAAAAAAAATTCAATTCAATTTTAATTTAAATTTTAATAGATGTTAGTTGTAGAATCTCAAATTCAAGATGATGAACAATTATTTACTGAAAATTCTAAATCTTCAAATGTTGACGAGTTTGAATGGCCTGACGGATTAACAACACCTCCTTTGAAGAATGTCAGGAAAAGAAGATTTAGAAAACGTATCTCTGCTAAGGTAAAGTGTATTTTATATTTTTGATGCGTTCTTATGTACCGCTTTGGATTGAATTATGGAATGAGGTCGTCTCTTACAAATTTATAAAGTTCAGAGGTTTAAATTTGATCTTCTTATCATGACTATTCAAAAAAAAAAATATAAATTTTTTTATTTTCAAAAGTTAAAAGTTAAGCAAGAGGATGGTAAAAAATAGTTGTAAGCATCCTATCTGAAAATTAAATAGACCAAAAAAAAAAAAGTTTATGAATTTGCTATTTGAAATGATGATTTTAATTAATTTATGCATTTTGAGGTCTTCTACTCTAGCTAATTGATCCTTCTTGCTGATTACTATTTCCACGTCAAATATCTAAATTAAACTATACAATCTTACAAATATCCTGATTCTGATATCAATTTAATATTAAAGATTATATTTACTAAATTCGATTCATTTTATAAAAACGTGATATTATTGATAAATATAGAAAATTGAAGACATCGAAAAAGAGGTTGAAAAATTATTGCATGAAGATTCGTTAGCAGAGGAAGTTAAACTTGGTACTTATATTTATAATAATCATCATTACTTTCATTTAAAATATTTTTTTTAACCGGTGAGTTTCAAATTAATCGAAACAAAGTATGGGAGGATGCAATTGATTCAGAAACAGCAACACCAGCTGCATATATTGGGTCAAAAGCACATGAGGAAGAAGAACAAGAGGAGGTTGAAGAAGTACAAGGTGAAGAAGATGATTATGATGTAGAATTAGAAGAAGATACGACAGTATTAGGCGAGGAAATTCTTGATGAGGATCAATTTTCAACACCCGATGATGATTTGCAAAAGGAGTTCGAAAATGCTCTTGAAAGATTTGATGAAATGTCTGACTCTAGTGATAAAAATGACGATGAGGAAACAACAGAGTCGGAAGAATCTACTTCAGAATCGGACGAGGATGAGGATGAAGATCGTATGTCATTAATAAAAATATCAAATGAATATTTTTTTTCATACTGTATATTAATTTTATCTATGATATTTTTTAGCTGAATTGACACAAATATTGAATAAACGAGAAGAATTAACTACCGATATTGCTAAATTAGAAGAAGAAATTAAAAACTTTGAATCACATTTCGCTTCTGCAATTAATCCGTTAATACAGGTTTGGTTCTTATTAAATAAATCGTATCTTAAAAAAAAAAAAAAATTTTTTTATAATCATTAAATTTCATTAATAATAATAGGAACGACTTACCGGCAAAATTACTACAGCTAAAGAAGATTTATCACAAAAGCAGCAAGAAATCGAAACTGGAGATAAACGAATTGCTGAAATTCAAGAGAGAATGAAAGCTCAGGTAGCTGAATTAAAGAGACTTTCAAAAGAAAAAATGAAAGGAAAGAGAAGAGAATCGGATGAAGATTCAGAAAACGAGACAGAAAATGAGAATTCATCAGAAGAAGAAGATGATGAGCAAAATGAAGAAGAAAATAAAAAGGATGATAAGCAGGAGGAAGATAAGGATTCTAAAAAAGATGATTCAATGTTTCTTCTTGGTGAAGATGAATTTTATGAAGAGGAGTTAAATAATAAGGATGATGATGATGGTGATAACAAAGAAGAAACTATGACCGTAGATAACGATGGACAAGATGAAAATGAGGGTGATATAATGGATATTGAAGATGATGACAAAGAAAAATCTAAAGAAGGTAGCGAAAAAAGTCAACATAGTAACGATGAAGGCTAATAAGAGTGTAAACCTGTATATTTAAAAAAATAATATCCCTAATTTATATATTAAATTGCATTTAGCAATTTAATTGGAAGATTTAAAAGATTTTAATTTGAAGGAAATTAATTCTTTGCTCCAAATTTAACATATATTAAAGTGTTATAAGAAAACTTTTTGAGTTTATAAATTGTAAACATACTTTTTATAGATTCATATAAATAAAGTAATCATTTAAAAATGGACAATCTTTTAAATATCTTCAAAAATTTATAGTAAGTGATAAAAACAAACTTTTGAATTATCAGTTGATTCATCTTAATCTAGAATTGAGTATAAGTAGAATAAAATTAACTTATCTGTTCATTGTTTTATAGAAAAAAAAATGTAAAAAATAAATAAATCTTTATATTATTAGTTTAAATATAAAAGAGCATTATATTGGTAACCAAATAAAGTATTTTATTTTTATTCCTTTATTTGTAAGTTTTAACAGCTATAATTGCCTGCTAATTTTCGGGTTTCATCTAAGAATACAATGCCGGTATATTGCAAGTCATAAAAAATCTCATTTTTCAAATATGAATTTTATATTTAGTATATAAATTTTTTATTTAATAAATGTAAATAAAGTTTGTTATAAGCTGAAGTAATTCAATTCATAAATTTTGACTTTTATAAATTTCTTCCTTTAGGTTTGAAAATTTCTAGTTTACGAATTTATGATTTTTACTATCTTTAATTTCATTAATAAAGTTTTTATATTTTAATAGATTAGTCAAATATGTTATTATTAATTTATTATTATTATTAAGGTGTTGATATTTTTGGCAAATTTTGAATTTACCTGCGAGATATTTCATGAGCATGATAATCTATATATTAAATACTTATTGGGTGGGGAAATATAGATATCGGGTCGAAGAGTCGAAGACCCATCCAATAATAAATTAATTCTGTTCAATTATTATATTATAATTTTGATCTGAAAATTTTAAGCAGGAAAATTTCTCTTTATAGTAATAAAAACTTGGAAAAATCATGAATTATAATTACTAAATTAAAAAACTGGATATCTTTGTATATGTAAAAAATCAATTGTCTATTATATATGAATACATTAGCTGGCTAAGTAAAAGAAAGAATGGAGTAGATAACGTTTAAAAGGCATGCCTCCGTAATTATCTACCCCATGTAACCATCCTCGTCCTAATATCATACGATTTTCGGTTATGTGGCCATCACGTGATAATTAAATATTTGTAGTGCAGAATCATTCATCTTACATTCTTACGCCATCCTTTCTTAATCAATACAAATCAATACAAATCTCGTAGGGTTATATTTACAAATAAAGAAAATTAAGAATGAGATGATAAATAATAAACTCATTTTATGCATATCGAATCGGAATTGTAAGTACTTCAACTCCGTTAAAGGATTCCCTATAATTATGGCGAATAGCCGAATAATCAACAAGAACAAAATTCACTTCCTACGATGACAACTTCAATTCTTTTATTGGGTGATTCTCTGACAGAAGGATACAGTGGATATGGTACCGTTTATCATCCTTATGGAATCCAATTTAGGAAAAGATTCGAGGAAGCTGGAACAGAAGTTGAGGTATAAAACAAAAAAAATAAAATAAAATATCGGTTCCCAATTTAATTATACGCAATATATTATTAATTATTACAGGTAACAATAGAAGGACAATCAGGAGCTCGTGTTGTAAGTAATTATGAGAATCGTCTTCGGAGAGCAATAAGCAAACAAACTGATAAAGGAAAAAAGTTTGATTATGTTGTCATATTAGGAGGTAATGAAGTTCTTTTCTGTAAAAAATTTTCGTTTCGTTTTCTCCTTTTTATTCTTTTTTTTTTTTTAAACATATACGTTTTGATAATTTAGGTACAAATGATGTTTGTAATATGTTTGATTCTAATAAAATATTTAGCAAATTAAAAGAACTTTATGATATTTGTGAAAATCATGGTGCAATCGTATTTGCATTAACTATCATGGAGATGGAGTTCACTTATATTGTGAGTATTGACTACGTTTTTTTAGATTACTTGTTTATTTTAATAATACATTATTTTAATCTTTTGTATTAGGATGAACCCGAAAAAAGAAGGAAGGAAGTGAATGAATTGATAAGGTTAGAAATTAACATAAAAAAATTTCATTAATTTCTAATGAAACTAATATTTATTTTATAATAGAAATTATTCAGCGGAGAATGATAAAATTATATTATGTGATTTATCAAAAGAACTTCCTATAAATTCTATTCCAAAAGATCAAAAAGAATTATATTGGGATGATGGTGTTCATTTAACAGTTGAGGGTTATGATCATATGGGTGATATAATTTTTGAAGCATTATATAGTCAAATCAAGAAATAATAAATATTGATTCATTTTAAGTGAATAATATTTCAAGTTTAAAAACTTGTTTAATTAAATCTCATGTGAGAAAAGTCATAATGAAATGATATTTAAACTAATATTCGCAATATGTATCTTATGTTTGTTGCTAAATATAGAAATCATGGCACTAACAATTACATTACAGATTTTTCCTTAATAATCAACAATCATTAACCAAATTCTTCATTAATTGTCCATACACTTCCTCAATTAACTCTATTTCAAACAATAATTCATCATATATTGATGGCTTTTATAATTTCGTAATTTCGATGCTTATTTAATTGCACCTGATGGTATAGATAGGAAACATGTTCGTGAGATGTAGACTATTAAGGTAATTCAATTTTTTAAAAAATTCAGTACATAAGCAGTTTCGTGAATGATATGTAAAGGGGAAGGCTTGAAAAGTCGTAACCGATTTTGCGTAGGTTCTTTGTTCGGCGTCTGCAGACATATTAATAATGAAAAGGCTATTCGGGAGGTGTTGCGAGCTAGAGGGTAAATAACGTTATTCCTAAAAATTTTACAAAAACCATTAACACTAAATATATACACCACCAAGGGAGTGATAAACGGGCGACCTTAACGTACAGTGGGGGTGTACAATTTTAACGTACAAACTGGCCCGAGTTTAGGAGTTATGCACTTGCACGTGATAGCGTTAGCGTTAATTCCGGCCATTAATATCGTACACCCTCATTGTACATTAAGGAACTCGTGATAAACATTTCTGTAGGTACATAATAGGATAATAATTTCCAAATCGGTAAAATTTAAATACCCGTGACTTTCATCATAAAGGTGAGAACGTAAATAGTATAGCTCAAACATTCATATTTCCCAAACTCTTGTCTTGTATAATTGCTTAATTGCTTATAAAACTAGTACATTTCTTCCCTTACAAAATGTAACAGTATGATTATGTCGATATTTAAGAGAGTTTTTGATAAAAGACTTCAACCCCTTTATTCAATGAAAACACACGAGAAAGCTTTACGTCATATTCAACGAGAATTCTATTTAGTATGTTCAAAAGGGATCGGGAATGGAAAATCTTAAAATTAATTATTAATAATATAAGCCACACTCGTGTCATGGCCTCTAATGAATGACTCAAGTAGAAAAAGTTTACTTTCATCAAATCCCAAAGCAATTGCTAGAATTTATAACACTCTTGTAATATAGCCCAATTGACTACCTCAAACATGCCTTGGCTCATGTTTCCGTCAAAATAGAAATATGGGTAATTTGGCAAAATCTTTATTAGCCATCTTTGACGTTCATTTCAAAGGCAAAGCATATGAAAGATTTTGGCATCCGACTTATTATTTCAAAAGAAAATGATTATTGTCCTATTTAATATTTCGTCAATAATTTTCTTAGTCTCTTCGTTATAATTCTTACGGTATATACTTTCTGGCTTGTTATTCCCTTCTTCTATTTCTACGAAAAGAAAGGAATAGAACTTAGAGACAAAGAAGAACTGTATCTCGAAAAAAAAGTGAAATAATCTATACATGGATGCTATAAATCTAGTCTTACTAATTAACAAGCCTAGGGCTATATAATTGAATTTTTTTCTGTGGCTGTATACGAAAGCTTCTAATTACAACAAAGCTGATACAACTGGATATCGTACACCAGTCTAATGTATTATTCCGAAGAAGGAGAAAGTCTGCACTATGATACTTTCCCAACACATTCATAAATGACCGGAACCAAATCTCTTTATAGTCAGCTCACAAGGAACCAAGTATAACCACGACAAAGAAGAAAAGGGCAAAGAATATAATGCGGATCAAACTATTATTGGTGGCAAAAACACTATTGGATTGTAATTTGTAAATGGGATTTTGTCTCATACGATATCTACTTGACAAAAATCCGCTGAGTATTATGATGTTACATTAATTAATTCTAAGGACAAGGATGATTTCTTAAGTACATTAGACGAAAGTATTGTTGAACAGATGTGTAGCGAATAGCGATGTAAGGAGGGAAGAAGAAAAACAGAAGACAATATGGAGCAAGATATTAGAGATTTCTTTGTAATATTATTAACATTATTGATCATGATATCAAAATCACTAAAGAACCGATGTCTGAAGTAACATATATAGTTAACGTTTTAGCTCTTATCCTCTCTGAATTCTTTATAAAAATGATGTGTTTCATACGGAGAAACATGCCTCAAGCCGATCTAATGGAAAAAATACTATTATTTCTTAAAGAATTCTCAGTTACTGAAGTGAGTGGACTTCTAATAAAAAAATGATTGGACACATTTCAAGAATGATCAGATGAAGATCTGAGTTACAGTTATATCATAAGTTGGATTCTTTTATTCGTTATTATCCATTACTTGCTTTGTGTTTTACAATAAATACTATTTATGAATTTCAATTGAAATATATCAAGATCTATATCATGGAAACAATAACGCCATTTCCCTTACCTAATATATGGGCAGATATGGTAAAGCTTGTAATATTAGACTTGTTGGAGTATGAGGTTTGTATAAATGGGTCTCGGAAGAAATTAAATACAATAAAAGATCACAAATTTAATATTCCCAGTTAGCGTTTATTATCTGAAAGCATAAAATAATACAGGACTTTATGAGATGAAGGTGGATTTAAGTTGACAACAAGAATGATTAATACTCTTACAGAAAATGCTAAGAAAACATATATTGTGATCACGGAATTCATAAGCTAAATTGTATGCTTGTTATCGTTTAAAAATAAATCAATCTACTCCTAATTTAGCAAGATCTGATCTATCATTAAATGATTAACTTTAAACGCTCATTATGCATATTATAATTACTATATTATTGGTTATCTATCTCCTATCTAGGTTTTACATTAAACCTTTTAAACCTTTGTGGATTGGTCAAGTGACACACTCATAAGGCTACTTTTTAGCCCTGTATAAATAATAATATTTTCCCGATTATTATACAATAAGTTATTCCGAATATTCACTTTATTTTCCTTTTTTTTCCTTTGTACCTCTTATATTAGAAATATTCGGATTTTTATATAAATAAAGTAAAGTGTTCATTCATACAAATTTTTTTTTAGGATTCCTTCCTTCATTTTGCTTTTTTTTTTTATGAGATAGAATTTAAAGAAATTAAACGAAGGAATCGATTTAAAGATAAAGATGAAACCAACGAAGACTATTACTTTAATAACATGGGCGTTGTTAGCCTTGGCAGCTAGCGAAAGTAGAGCTCATGCTATTAATAATAAATTTACCTCTACTTCAAACATCTCAAGAAGTAAAGGAAATTTTGGACCGGAACTTGCTCATCGATCATATGTAGTTCCAAATTCGTTACGTACCACGAACCCTTCCATTAACGCATTAACATCACCGAACGAAGAATTATCACCTCAAGAAATTGCTATCAAATTCGTTAAAGAAAGCCTTCATCCAGATGCTGATTTTAAAATTAAAAATATATATAAATCGGAACATAACGGAATTACTCATGTATATATTAAACAAATTTATAATGGATTAGAAGTTGTTAATGGTGACTTAAATGTCAACATTGACAAATATGGTAGAGTAATCTCTTATGGTGATAGTTTTGTTTTACCGCCATCACTTGGTCAAAATAAATGTTCCGATTTCTCTAATCAACCTGAGGAAGAGAATATTTTTATGAAAAATGGAAAATATTTTATCGCTTCTAATTCTCGTCAAGTTTATATTTCTACTCGTCCTTTAGATTTTTTAAACCAAGGAAAAAAGAATGTAAAAGGTAGCGATAATCATAATACAGTTAAATATAAGGTTAATGATTCAGGAAAAACTATATCACCATTTGAGGCATTAAACTCGTTTTCATCATACATTGATAAACAAGCTATTAAACCAGAAAATTTACAATATTATGAATCATTTGATGATCAAGGTTATTTAATGGTTGAAAATGTTCCTTTCGCTTTATCACCAGTTAAAATTTCACAAAATTATATTCAACTGGATGATATGTCATTGCAATTGGTTTGGGACTTACAAATTGAAATGGAAAACAATTGGTATCATGCACATATTAATGCTAATACAGGTGAATTAATTGCATTGATGGATTGGGTTGCGGATGCAACTTATAATGTATTCCCATTAGGTGTAAATGATCCTTTAGATGGTGGTCGGGAATTAGTTACTGATCCTAATGATGTTATTTCTTCACCTTATGGTTGGCACAATCAAGGGGAAAGAAATTTTACCAATACTATTGGTAATAATGTTTATGCTCAAGAAAATTTAAATGGAAGATGGGAATGGGAAAATAATTATAGACCTGAGGGTACTGAATTTTTAATATTTGATTTCCCATTGAATTTATCTGATCCACCCAAATCTTATATTGATGTTGCCGTAACCAATCTATTCTACTGGAATAACATGGTAATGTTTTATAATTAAATTTATTCACCCAAATATTTTTAAAATATGCATATATATATTAAGTATATAATTCTCTTTCCTTTTAATAGGTTCACGATTTGTTTTATAGATATGGTTTTAATGAAGTCGCTGGTAACTTCCAACAATATAACCATGGTAAAGGTGGTAAAGAAGGAGATCCAGTAATTGCAAACGCACAAGATGGATCCGGATTTAATAATGCTAACTTTGCCACACCTCCGGATGGTCAACACGGTAAGATGCGCATGTACGTTTGGGACATATCTAATCCATGGAGGGATGGTGATTTAGAATCAGGAATTATTGTAAGTGATAATTATAGAGCAAAATAAACATTTTTTTTTTTTAAAAAAAAACAATATAATAATTTTTTATAATGAATAGATCCATGAATATTCCCATGGAATTTCCACTCGATTGACAGGAGGACCAGCTAATAGTGGATGTTTAGGATGGGGAGAAGCAGGTGGTATGGGAGAGGGATGGGGAGATTTCTTTGCTACCATTTTACGTATGAAACCCGAATTTAATAGTACTAAAGATTTTGGTATGGGTAATTGGGCTAATGGCGATAATGGAATAAGAAAATATCCTGTAAGTATAAAATATTTTTTAAAAAAAAGTGAAATATTGATATTAACAACTAAAATTAACCTTATAACTATTCTTTACGTAGTATTCTACTTCGAAGGTAACCAATCCTGAAACATATAAATATGTAGATAAACCTGAGTATTGGGGTGTACATGCTAAAGGGTAAATATATTTATACATAATTTTTTTTTGTTAAACCTTTTTTTTTTGGCCAAATATTTAATTTTAATTATTACTTTCTCTCTCAATTTATGTTAATAGAGAGGTTTGGGCAGAAATATTGTATGAAGTATATTGGAACTTGGTAGAAAAACATGGTTTTACATTAGAATGGTTCCCTCCTACGGTAGATCATGATTCATATAAATGGTATACAACCAAAACATCACCTGATGGCCTTGATACGCTTAAATATCCAAAACATGGTAATACAGTAGCATTACAATTGGTCGTTGATGGTATGAAATTACAACCATGCCGTCCATCATTTATTGATGCGCGTGATGCAATAATTCAATCCGATGAAATTTTAACCAATGGCGAAAACAAATGTGAACTTTGGAAAGGTTTTGCAAAACGTGGTCTTGGTATTAAAGCTAAAATTATTGGTTCAAATCCTTGGGGTGGACTTCATGAAGAAGATTTCCATGTTCCTGTAGATTGTGAAAATAGTCCTGATGATGAAATTTAAAGTAGACATATTCTTTTTTTTTTTACATAGTGTAGTAGTAAAGTTTGTCTCATGTTACATAATTTTTCAATTTTTTCTTTCAATAAATTATATATGAAGTTTGAAAGTTAATTAAATAATTTATTTGAATTTTTTGGCTAAAATTGGGAAGACACTATGTTCATTCTATATAAATTAAGAAAAGATAAAATAAAAACAGCCCGAGAAAGTAAAATAAAATAAAATAATAATACAGTAAATCAATTAATCATATAATCTTAAAAAAAAAAATTTTTTTAGTTACTACGTTGCTTATCAAAAATATCAACAATTTCTTCTATAATTTTAACACCATGTTGAGCTTCTTCTTTTTTCAATATTAAAGGAGGTATTATTCTAACGGTTTGATTAGAAGCTGTAATAAGTAATAAACCTCTTTCCCTAGCTAAACCTATTAAAGGAGTTGGATCAACAGTAAATTGTATACCAAGTATTAAACCTTTTCCTCTAATATTGGTAATTAAAGAAGGATATTTTGAAGCTAATCTTTTGAATTCATTAACTAAATAATCTCCTACACTATTAACATTACTTAATAATTCGGGTGTATTAATACGACGTACAACAGATAAAGCAGCCCTACATGCCAATGGATTACCACCAAATGTGGTACCATGATCACCAATTTTTATGATATTAGCTACTTTTTCAGTGGTAATTATGGCTCCAATCGGAAAACCATTTGCAAGTGGTTTTGCCAAGGTTAATATATCTGGATGACAAGATTTTGGAAGATGTTGATGAGCCCATAATTTTCCTGTACGTCCAAGTCCACATTGAATTTCATCAAAGATTAATAATGCATTAACTTCATCACATCTTTTTCTTAATGCTTTCAAAAAATCAACAGTAGCTACCCAAACACCACCTTCACCTTGAATAGGTTCAACAATAACAGCACAAGTATTTTCATTAACAACTTCAGGAATTTTTTCTATATCATTATAAATAGAATGAACAAAACCTGGTACTAAAGGAGAAAAAGGAGCTTGATATTTTGGTGATGGAGTAGCAGATAATGCACCCATAGTTCTACCATGAAATGCATTGTTATATGATATAACACCATATTTTTCTTTTCCTTCTTTACTAACTTGTTTTCCCCATTTTCTAGCAAATTTTAATGCACCTTCATTGGCTTCAGTACCAGAATTTGAAAAAAATACTCTAGCAGCTTCAAAACCTCCACCTTCTTTTGTAATATTTACTAACAATTCAGCTAATTCACCAGCATATTCGTTATGATACAAATTTGATAAATGAATCAATTTTGTTGCTTGATCTGCTATTACAGATGCTAATTCGGCATCAGCATGCCCTAAAGCATTAACTGCTATACCAGCAGAAAAATCCAAAAATTTTCTATCAGCTAAATCGTATACCCAACATCCTTTACCTTTGGTGAGAACTATTGGAGGTCTATTATAAGTGTTAATAGTATATTTATCTTGTTTATTTAACAACTCTATCGTTTTAGGATTTATATTCTCGTCTGCATGAGTCAATGTCTAATATAAAGAGATGGTTAAAATCAATAATTAAATATTAAATAATTTATTTTTTTTTTATTCAGAATTACCTTTTGTTCGGTCTTTTGCTCTGTCATGACTGAAGTGGTGATACTCTTCGTAAATGACGGTGTTTGTTTAGTTGCTCGCTGAAAAAAAATGGGACTTACATTAATAAATCTGCCACTTATTTTTGCTGCACTTAAACTATTTATCGAAAATGTTGAAGAACGAAACATTTATTAATTTTGATCAATGAAAAATGAAAAAAAAAAATATTTATTAAAAATAATAATAAACTTGAAAGGTGAAATGGGGAAGAGTTTTAAAAAAAGAAAAATGAAAAAGTTTAAAAGGTTTAAAATAAATAAATTTTTTTTTTTTCAAACCTCCTATTTGACAAAATACGAAAGTTGTACTAGATAAAAATAAATAATTTATCTTTTGGATACAATAAAAATTATCTTGAAATTTTCTCTCCAGCAAATAAAAAAAAAAACAAAATTACCTTTGTTTTATTTTACAAATCGTAAATCTCAAAAATAATCATTGACTCATCATCATTATATTTATTGATAATCAAAAAGGCGTATTTAAAATCAAGAAAATCAAATCATTATGCTGCGATAATCAGAAACACATCAAAAAGCACCATTCTTTTGATATTAATCTGATACGCATTAATTCTTTACCCCTTTTAAAATTACAATCTTATCTTATGTTAGTATTCAAAAATAGAGTGATTATTGTAATTATTTGTTTTCTAAATTTTGAAAAGTTATTTTTACTGATATTTATATTTCTTGCAGAAGAATATAATTGGTCCGGAGAAATTGGGAAAATTAATTATTCCGTTGTTATTATTATATTTAACAATCCATCTGATTGGCTCGAAGTATTCTTTCAATCAACGATGTTTCGAAATTTAATTACAAAAAATAATATGATCTCTTTTAAAAGAAATCATTTAAAAAAATTTTTACAGATGAGATATAATAATTCTTCAATTAAAATTGATGAACATTATTTGGTAAAGTTTTGATAATCATTTTTTATTAAATTTGAATTTTTAAATCATTTATACCTGTAAATTCTTTAAAGCCAGAAAAGCCAACTTGGTCAGTTCGCTCACTTTTACCTCCCATTATTACTTGTTCTGATACAACTTCTAAACCAATTATATCACAAGAAGAATATAAATCATTACTTAAATTATCAAATTTACGTTCAACATCTCCTACAGAAGATTCACAATTAATTCAAGATATTAACTTGCTTTGTTATTTTGTCAAACTTATACAAGATGTTGATGTTACTAATGTTAAACCTATGAGAAGTATCTTGGAAGATGGAATTAATTTGAATTTATATGATGAAGAAGAGGAAGAAGAAAATGAAGAAGATAAAAATGAAAATCAAGGAAGAGAATTATTGAAAAGAGCTAATGTATTATATAAAGAATTTTATGTTGTTAAAACTGGTAATAATAATAATTACTGACAATAAACAAATTATTACATTATGTCATATTTAAAATAATCGTTATAATAAGTGATGTATAAATATATTTAAATGCTCACCATGCTTACCTAAAAGTCTAAAAAATTTTGTGCAACATTTTCTATGAACGTAAAGGCTATGTTGGCCGTCAGTTTCTCAAATTTCAGCAGAAACAAGTTTTGAACAAGCTGATAATCCTATCGGCAATTTTTCCTTTAACCCTTACACATTATATAATATTCCTGAAATTTTGTAGAATGTATAGTATTATCGATTGGTACTGGTAATTTGGGTACTTGCACCAGATTGTTAAAATTAATAAGGTAAATTTTAAATACGGTATATTTCTAATTTTTAATTTCAATATGGTAAAAAAAGGAAAGAAAGGCTTTTTTTTTTACCCATCAAAAAAAAAAAACGGGCATGCAACAAAGAATATTTTCTTTTTTCATTGTTTAAAAAAAAAAGCGGGGAAAAATAATTGATTTGGTACGATCGGGGAGGTCCGGATGTTGCCAATAATTACATCGCCATTTATCATTAGATTTATCAGATTTTAATAAGCTATATAATATTACGAAAAAGCACATTGCATGTGATTAATTGTTTAGGAATATTTTTTAATATTGAGAAACGTGCGCAATCAAAAAACAAACGCATTTAAAACAAAAAAAAAAAAAAAAAAAAA